CTTTCCCTGGTACCTCCCTGGCAATCTCATTTTAGTCCTGCAGCACTTGAACCCACCTCCATAAGCAACCTTACCTAACACCTGTTTCTAGAACAAGCCCCCTGCTACTCTCTGTAAGAACCCCTTTCTTCCTGCATAGCACTAGCAGCAGCTCTAAGCTTCTTGTCTGCCCTGTTTTTCATCATATTCCTAGCCCATAGCAGAACACCCAGGGGATAGCTGTACTCGATGAATAATAGTTGAATAAATGAGTGAATTCCAGAGCTCCCAAGTCAGTCTATGAGTAGTGTGCTAGGTAAAACGATGGAAGGGTAGGATACTGGAATTTTGTGACCCAGTCACAATCGAAATCACTGATGCTCTTCGATAAGTAAATCAATAAACAAAGGCTCTGATGCTTGGGATTGTGCTCTAATCAAGTTCGATTCTTTTTAGTGGATTAATTTCAGGAAGGATCTTGTCCCTAGTCTATTAATGAAAGATTTCTTTCAGGAATACTGAATTAATTTTATGTTTTTTTTCATGTATTAATCATAGGTTATATAGTATTCATTGCATTTTGGATAACTTGGTTAAAAGGAAAATGAATAATAAGTAACATGAAACTCAAGATCAGGAAAATTGACCATCTTGAGGGAACTGAAACCTCTGAAGGAAGTCAGAAGCTAGCTGCTATCACCGTGGCAGACTATACACCTACACACTTGGAGCCTTTAAGAAAGAAGTTACAGCATCTTCCGTTTAGGGCACTTCCACCACACTAGAGGGGGCTGTTGTACTGAGTTTGCTTAATTAATGTTCAAAATCATTTTTTTAATATAGATTTTTTTCCTTAAACTTAGGATCTGAAACATATAGAATGACATGTGTGCCCATAAGTACTATTTGTATGGGAAAACCCACTTTCCTTTTGGAGGAATCACTGGTCTTTGAATATCTAGGAACCCCCCCAAATTCACAACATCCAGAGGAATCCATCTACCCACAGCCCACAACAATCACATTTAATCAAGGATTTCTTTGGAAAGGTTACTTTTATTATAATGCCCGAGATCCACTAGATTTTATTATTTATGGGTATTCTATTCTTTATTCTTTTGAGATAGAGAAATAGGCATTTTTTTATTTTATTGTAGGTTCCATCACTGTACATCTTTATGGCAAAGTGTCTGGTTTCTCAACATATCCATGCAGTATATGACAATCAAATTAGGGATATTGCTGTGTACATCATTTTCAACAGAAAACTTTACATTCTTTTTTCTTTTATGTGTTTCATCCCTTTGCCCCTCCTGCCCACCTTCTGTCATCTACTCCTGTCCTTTACAGTCTCTAGTATCTATATTTATCCTCCACACTATCATATAACAGAAATTGAAACATTATTTTTCAAAGTTTGCAGTGTATCATCATCTAGGAACAGAAGATCCAAAGCTTCAACTTAGCTATAAATCCCTCCTTAGAAACCTACAAAATTGAATATTCACAGAATTAGTGTTAACAATTGTGTATCTAAAAATAATTGTATACTGAGAGAGAGAATTTTGCAGGATTAGAAACTGACCGGATAGCATTTTTAAGTCATCAGAGTCCACAGGTGGGAGTCCGTGGTCTGCTAGGAAAGGCAATTGAGGGGGAAGGGGTAGGACTCTCTGTGTTGAGGATAAGGCTGAACAGAACTATGGATCCAGGAGAAGTTGACAGGTCATCTGTGTTCTGAGCAATGAAACAGTCTGCCCAAGAACACACAGTTAGGATTCTAAGTTGGTATCCTAAGTCTGGGTCTCTCTGACATGTAAATCCTAACATTTTAAGGACTGTGTAGTTATTCATCCTGGTGAGCAATACATGATACCAAGCAATTTTGTTCCTATTTTGCAAATACAAAATTAAGAGATGAAAAAGAAGTTTAAAAACACTTGGGTGGCAAGAGCTAATTACAACACAATGGGGAACAGAACTCAGAAGCCTGAATCCAGTGTTCTGACTACACCGCTAAGAGGCACTCCTTTCCAGAAGAAGCAGAGCATCGACTATGCAGTGAGGTGCACGTGCCTAATTTTCCACACACAAGTACTTTTTATTTGATATTTTTTCTTTCAGCTATGTGTTACCTAATAACAGATATCAGTTAATAGGGGGAAGGAAACTATCTTATGTGAATGGCATGCCCTATTTCACTTCATTCTCCTCTGTGGATGCTGACGCTGCCCTGGGGAAGGCCCTGACATTGCCCTCTCTTTCCTCTCTTCCCCAGGACTGCTCTATGTTGGCTTTAGTGCCTGCATGTTTGGTCTCTACAGCTTTATGCCAGTTGTCATAAAGAAAACCAGTGCCACTTCCGTCAACCTCTCTCTGCTCACAGCAGATTTGTACAGCCTGTTCTGTGGACTATTTCTCTTCCACTACAAGGTAAGTTGAGTCAGGACTTCACTGTGCAGATGACACTTTGCAGGGAATAAAGCATATAGGTAGAAATTCCGAATGCGGATTGCTCTGGTTTTGTGTAGG